GGTGGCCTGGAGCGGCCACTGCACTCCAGTCTGGGTGACCGAGTGAGACTCCAACTCAAAAAAAACCCAAAAACAAACAAACAAATAAAACAAAAACAAAAGAAAGGGTCATTAGAGGAAGATTCCGTAAATTCATTCACCTTCCTCAGACATTTTCTATGCCCTCAATTTAAATGGTCTCAAAGGAGAGGAGGATTGCACTTACAAATCAACCCTTCCAATCTCCGTGAATGTTGGCCCTTGGTGGATGATGCACCTAACATATGTAAAGAGGGATGTGCATGTTTCCCACAAGTACGCAGGCAGGTTCCCAGAAGATGTGCATCTTTAAAAAGATGTGTGTGTCACCCTCCGGGGCACACACACACACCATTCTCTTTAATCACCCTGGCCCAAATCCAAGTACTCCAATGCATCTTTCAGGTTTCAGTTTAAGAACAACCAAACAAGGAAACTAAAGATTGCAGAAAGATAAGTGCCCAGAACTAATATCTTATATAAATTCAATACATGTGGATGTTCTTTTAATAACACTACCAATAGTCACTGCTATCATCTTAGCCTGCATTATAAAACATCTTTATAAAAAAAACTCTAGATTATAACACCCCATGGGTTTTTCTACTTCCCTAAACTAATGAACCCTACTTTCTACCTTGCCGTTTATCCTCCTTATAATCCCCTTACCTCAGTAGCTGGAAGGCTCCCAGGCAGGCTCTGGTTCCCGACAGTCACTTCCAGAAAAGCCAAACAAGGCAACAAAACTGAAGTAGAGGGCCATTGTCATTGTAATCTGCTTTTCCAAATTGAAACCTGCAAGTGCTCTAATGAAATGTGTTAGGTCAAGCTCCTTAAAGTTTCTTTTTGTAAAACAGTCAAGCTCACTAAAGTTTATTTTTATAAAAAGAAAATTAAGGCACCTTGCTGAGCCTGGCTAGCTCCCCACTTTAGAGCAGGTAAAAATTTAAATGCTAGATATGCTCTCTGTGGCACGATAGCCTGAGACCACACCTCACAACTAAAACTGTAATTTAGCAATTTACAAAAAATCTTAAACCCTCCCCCACACTGGCCTCTTATTCTAACCTTCACTTTCCTTACATCTCCTATTCCCGCTTACACTGTCCTCTAATAGTTGGGCTCCTTTCATCAACCTCACACACCAAATCAGCGTCCAATCTCTAACCCCCTCACAAGTCTCTTCTGAGAACTCTCCCTCCCAATTGCTACAACTACACCCTCCCATCATCCTCTACTTCTCCTCCTCCTCGTACTCACCTTTGGACTTTGTCCTTTTAACTTTAGTTCTCGTTTTTTCTCCCAACGATTAAATGCCTTTATTCAAGCTAGCACAGAAGAACATGTCAACTGCGTCCTTCTGCTCCACCATGCCCCCTTTTCATATAAAATGAAATATATGTATATAACGACAGAAATGTTAACCCTAGGGACACCATCTCAGTCCCCGCCATTTTGCTGACACAAACCAGGGTGGAAACTTACCGGCCAGGTGCCCACCCCAGAGCATCCTGTTAAGCAGCCATTGGTTTAACCACAAGGCATCTTCCTTAGCTATCCGCTAGCAGTCAACTAACCACCAAAAATTCCCCACCTGAGATAGTTAACAGCACCCCTTCCCTCAAACCCCTATAAATTGCCCTTAGTCTTTCTCCGGAATAAGACTGTGTCGCTGTTGAGCCACTGTCTCTTGTCTTTTCTTTTTTTTGAGTCGGTGTCTCACTCTTGTCACCCAGGCTGGAGGGCAGTAGCATGCTCATCACGGCCACCGCAGCCTCGACCTGCTGGGCTCAGGCGATCCTTCTGCCTCAGCCTTCCAAGTAGCTGAAACCACAGACGCACGCCACGACGCCCGGCTAGTTTTTGTGATTTATGGTAGAGACGAAGTCTCACCAAGTTACCCAGGCTGGTCTCAAACCCCTGGGCTCGGACAATCCTCTGGCCTCGGCCTCCCAAAGTGCTGAGATGACAGGCTAAGCCACCGCGCCCGGCTGGTCTTTTCGATCCACTCCTTTTCTGAACCTAACTACTCCAACTCAAAACAAAAAAAGCCATGGCCTACTCAGTACAATGTTCTCAGAGGGCAACAAGTTTACTTGAACATCCAGCACCCCCTGTGGGAGTCAGTCAAAATTCCAGGGTTCATTCACTGAGTGCAGAACTATGGGGTTGCAGATGCATTAGCCACTCCTTGGAAGGAAAACGCACCAAGGAACACGAAGGGGAAAAAGCATTTTAGCTTCATGTGTTACCACTGCTGAGGTTTTGGGGCCTCCTCCACCAGGGAGGGCCGAGAATCTACCATTGCAGCTCTGTTGTGTCTGCAGGTTGCAGGCATGGGGGGTGGGGGGAGTGGATAGGAGCTCACAGCGGACTTCCATCACCACTACCCATCATTTTCTAGTTATTTTATCATCCCTTTTTTTAGCCTTAGACACGCCATTTTAGGCGTCCCCACCATTTCGTAAAGGCTAACTGAGATGAGCAATTGCCAGCAAGGCCCAGACGGTGAAAGCGCGCCCTATTAAGCAATACTTGCCATCCTGTTAAGCAACCCTTATCGTCACCACCAGGCTAAGCAACTCTAATCGTAACCGCAAGGCCCCTTCCGACAACAAAACTGAAAAACACAAAAGCGGAGGGCAGACGAAAACAGAGCTCCGAGAGGAGCCGAGCGCCGCCCGGCCTTTCGTCCTGCGGTCCCTTTAAGAGGAGACTCTCTGGGGCTCCGCAGTCCCCACCGACCACGGTTTTAACCGAAACCTAACCCGGACTTCCCCCTCTTGACTCAAATAGGACCAACTTTGGATTTTCCCTCGCCTACTGGCCAATCAGATCCTGTTACCAGGCAGACTTCGGGCGCCGCCGGTGCGAGTCCGGCGCCTTCTGTCTCCGGGTGGCAGCAGCGACCAATGGGAGAGCAGGCCGTGCGTGTATCCAGGCGGATCGCGGCTGCTACAACCATTCAGAAAAAGGAAAATAAAGCAACTGACGAGCCGGCGGGGCCAGGACCGTGGGGCTGGGCTGAAGTGAAGGTGGCTGCGAGGTAGTTTCTCTTTCTCCCTTACCTTTATTGTTGCTTGTGTTGGAAGGCGACTGATCAGAGGTAGGGAGGGGGCCAGAGGAGCTGGGAGGAGAGCAGAAGAGGACCTGGGCTGCGTTTTCAGCAGCTTCTCACCCGTGTGCACGTGCCCCGAATCTGGGACCCCGTTTCCCCCCCCCCCCGGCTTTCCCGCGCCCAGCCCAGGAGTTCCGCCGCCCCGAGCCCCCCACTTTGCAGTCACCGGGGATTGAATGGAGGGGGAAGGGAGGGGGTCGGGGCGCCTCGGGATGGGCTGTGGAGGGGATGACGTAGGGGCCGGCGACGTGGGGAGGGGGAGCAGCGGGGGAAGTCGTGGCGAGATTAAGTAATGAGAACTTGGGCCCGGTTTTTTTTTTTCCCCGAGCCTAGAAGGGCAGAGTTGGTTCGTGTTTTTTCTGACCTCCTAGGCATATTCAGTGGTGAGGAGTGTATTCGAGAATTAGAGAACTTTGTTCTGTGACTGTTATTGTTGTTTTTGAGGGGGGAGGAGGACGGTGTGCAGCCACAGGCAGAAACGAACATTTTTTTTCTAACGTGGATTCCCAATCCCCCATCTCTTCCTTTACAGTTTTCCAGACTTAGGAGACTTCAGAAAGGTAGGGCGGATAGAAGGGAGATGGCAAAGATCTCGTTGGGTATAGATGGGCCGGGCGAAGAAATGAAATAATTTTTAATTTTTGGAGAAGGCAAGTGGTGAAAAAAGACCACTGGGGAAATTCGGAAGCTTTGTTTCTGTCTTTCTGAGTAGAGAGACGAGGAGTACCCTGGGGTCTTCAGGGGAAGGGAAGGCCAGTGTGAGTCAGTAAGTCTTCATGCCAGGTCCCTCTTGTCAGCCTTAGAAAGGCCATTTTAGGCATCCCTGTCACTTCGCAAAGGCTAAATGAGATTTTTTAAATTTACCATCGAGGCCCAAACCATGAAAACGTGCCTTATTAGGCAGTATTTGTTAAGCAACTCTTATCATACCCACAAGGCCCCTTCCTTAGCCACCCCTAGCAACAAGATAACTGCCAAAATTTTAACCGCTAAAATTTTTCCCACCCGAAATAGCTGGCGGCACACCTTCCCCCACTGCCGCAACTGTAATTGCCCTTGGACTGTAAGCAGAGTCGGCCTCCAGTCGCTTTGTGTCCCCCTTTGCAGGTTTTTCTTCAGAATAAACCTGTGTTGCTGTTGAGCCGCCCATCTCTCTTTTTTCTGCTTGTTGGTTTTCTTAGCCTAACATCTCTCAACTTTATAGCCCTCATGCCGGGATGGCAGAAGATGAGCCTGATACTAAGAACCCCAAGACTGGGGGAAGGGCCCCCCCAGGTGGTGCTGAGGCCGGGGAACCTACCACCCTTCTTCAAAGGCTCCGAGGTACCATTTCGTAAGTACTCATCACCATCTCCAAATCTTGTTCCAGACCTGGGTGTAGACCCCTGTGACCTTGCACCTCCTCTCTGAACGAACTGCCTTCCCTCAGCAAGTGCATCTGAGCAGGGGAAATTGACATGGTAGTAATTCTTGAGCACCTACCAGGCATTTCAGTTCTTTTCCCTCCCTAGCAGTCAGACAAAGATGTGGGGAAAATCTTGTGTGTGACCTCCAGCTTTCTCCTCTTCTTCACAGCAAGGCGGTGCAGAACAAAGTAGAGGGAATCCTGGTAAGTATGTTGGAGAAGCAGGCAGTCAAGACATGGAGTTGGTGGGGGATGCAGGTGTGAGGATGATGTCATATGCAAGGTTTATGTGAGAGAGGCCATGATGTCTACCTTGTCAGAGCTCATTGGCTTTGTAACTTGATGCCAGTTTGATTTTGTGCATCTCACTTCATTTCTCTGACCTCTTGTGTCAGAGATGAAATCAGAGTTGATCCCCTCTGCTTCCCTTCTCATTGTGGGGTCCTGTGGTGCTCCTCAGAGCACAGTGAGCACACAGCCTCAAGTAGTTTGTAAGGTCCCTTTTCAGTCTGACAGCCTGTAAGTCAGCTATACTTTGTGGAGAGGGTCAGAGGGCCCTACATTGGGTCCTTCTTGGCCTTATTATTTCGCCTGCCTCTGTTCCCCCACCTCAGCAAGATGTACAGAAATTCTCAGACAACGACAAGCTGTATCTCTACCTTCAGCTCCCCTCAGGTCCCACCACTGGAGACAAAAGGTAGGTTTGAAGGTAGATTTTCGATGTCAGAGGTTGTGATTCTTAGAGAAAGGTTCCTTGGGAAAGGGTCGAGGTGAATAGGAACTCATAGCTGCTGTCTTTAATCAAGAAGAAAGGTCCGGCCAGGCTCGGTGGCTCAGCCTGTATTCCCGCGTTTTGGGAGGCTGAGATGAGTGGATTGCCTGAGCCTGCGGGTTCAAGACCCGCCTGGGCAACTTTGCAAGACCTCATCTCTACAATAAATCAAAAGTTAGCCGGGCGTTGTGGCGCGCGCCTGTAATTCCGGCTACTTGGAAGGCTGAGGCGGAAGGATCGCCGGAGCCCAGCAGGTCGAGGCTGCAGTGGCTGGGAGCGGCCACTGCACTCCAATCTGGGCGATAGAGTGAGACTCCAACTCAAAAAAAAAAAAAAAGAAGAAGAAGAAGAAAGGTCCTTGCCCTGGCTTGTTTTACCAGGGAAAGATAGATACTACATGAATTAATTTGGTCCAGCACTATTGAAGTGGTAGTCTGGGAAGAATCAGAACAACTGTTGAGGTCTTAGTAATCTGTTTTACTTCTTTACTTTTACTTCTGCAGCTCAGAGCCAAGTATACTCATCAATGAGGAGTACATATATGCCTACAGGTGGATCCGCAACCACCTAGAAGAGCACACTGACACCTGTCTGCCAAAGCAAAGCGTCTATGATGCCTATCGGTGGGTGGAGGAGGGGAGAGGTGGGTGGGCATAGGACTACTCCACCCCTAGAGAGCCTCCTGCCTTGACAGAGCCTGCCTTCTTAAAGGGCTCCTCATACTTGATCCCTAGGGACCCTCTGAACTCACCTTCTCTGAGTAGCTCCCCACTCTGCCCCCCTCTCACTCAGGAAGTACTGTGAGAGTCTCGCCTGTTGCCGCCCGCTTAGCACAGCCAACTTTGGCAAAATCATCAGAGAGATCTTCCCCGACATCAAAGCGCGAAGGCTTGGTGGCCGGGGCCAGTCCAAGTATCCTTGACTGGAGAAGTTGGGGCTGCAGAACTTGGAAAATTTAGGATGTGGGGAGCCAGGAAACAGTTTAACTTGCCCGAGGGGCTTGGAGATCACCATGTGTTGGCTGCTCCTTAACTTGCATCAGATACTGCTACAGTGGCATACGAAGGAAGACCTTGGTATCTATGCCACCCCTGCCTGGACTTGACCTAAAGGGTTCTGAGAGTGTAAGTAACAAAACCCTCCAGTTCTACCCTTCTCTCCCAGGTGAAAATCAGAGGTCTTTGAGACATGTTTTGAGGGCTGACACAGCCTCAGTCATGATGTACCTAGCTTCTGGGTGTATAGGATACGCCCTTCTGTCAACCCTATGGCTAAAGCAGAGGATGCAGATAACTTGTAGGTTTCTGGGATGGGATGGATAGAGGCTGCTCCCATCCCCAGTCTGGTCTTAACTTTGGTCAACAGTAGTGTCAGAGAGGGGGCAGTGGTTCTTTAGTTTGTGAGCATGACTGGGCTTCCTTTTCCACTACAGCCAGAAATGGGCCCAGAAGTAACCCCAGCGCCTCGGGATGAGCTGGTAGAGGCAGCCTGTGCCCTGACCTGTGACTGGGCAGAGCAAATCCTGAAACGGTCCTTCAGTTCCATCGTTGAGGTCGCCCGCTTCCTGCTACAGCAGCATCTCATCTCTGCCCGATCTGCGCACGCCCATGTGCTTAAGGCCATGGGGCTTGCTGGTGGGTGGCCCCTCTCTTATGTCTGAGAAGCTCTCAGCCACTTTCAACTTCAAAATCCCCTTCGCATACTAGAATGGTGATACCCTAGATTTGCCGTCTCTTTCTGAAGACCCTCCTAAGATATGCTTTAGGCCACCCTCTTTCCTATCTATCCTAGACAGTCAAAATCGCCTAACTCCTCTGCTCTTGTCTCTCCTCACCCTTAATTTACTACCTTTTCTGACACCTCTGCAGAAGAGGATGAACATGTACCTCGGGAACGGTCCTCTAAATCCAAGAATGGTGTAGAGAATGTAGAGGCTGGAGCCCAGAAGAAACCGGAGAGACCGGCCCAGGTAAGGAGGTTAATGCCCCTGACTGCTGTCCTGGGCTGGGGGCTTATACCCTTCCCCCATTGGGTCTCACAATTTCTCACCTCCATGCCTGTGGTACCTGCATTTCCTCCAGCATTCCGTCTTCATGTCTTACTGTGTTCTCTATTTTGTAGCCTCCTAAGGATCTGGAAGCCCGGACTGGGGCTGGCCCTCCAGTACGTGGAGAGCGGAAGAAGAGTGTAGTTGAGAGCTCGGCCCTGGCAGCCAATAGCCCGCAGGTTAACGCCCTAATGGCCCGGCTGCCTCTGCTCCTTCCTCGGGCCCCTCGCTCACTCATTCCACCAATCCCAGTCTCTCCACCCATGCTGGCCCCCAAGCTTCCTTCAGGTCCCCTGAAAGTGGCTACACTGCCTCTGTCCAGTAGGGCTGGGGCACCCCAGGCAGCTGTGCCCATCATTAACATGATCTTACCAACTGTTCCTGCTTTTCCTGCGCCTGGGCCTGGGCCTGGACCAGCTCCACCTGGGGGGCGCACTCAGTCCCGGGGCACAGAGAACAGGGAGGTGGGCATAAGTGGTGACCCAGGATCCCATGATAAGGGTGTTAAGAGGACAGCTGAAGTACCTGTGAGTGAGGCCAGTGGGCAGGACCCACCAGCTAAAGCAGCAAAGCAGGATACCGAGGATACAGCAAATGAAGCCAAAAGAAAACGAGGGCGCCCTCGAAAAAAGTCAGGGGGAAGCGGGGAAAGGAATTCTACCCCTGAGAAATCAGCCACTGCCATGGATTCTGCCCAGTCATCAAGGTTACCATGGGAGACGTGGGGCTCTCAAGGGGAAAGCAACTCAGCTGGAGGGTCAGAGAGGCCAGGGCCAGTGGGAGAGGCTGAGAAGGGGACAGTGCTTGTCCAAGGTCAGGAAGATGGTGCTGTTTCCAAAGGAGGAAGGGCCCCCAGTTCCCGACATGCCAAAGCAGCAGAAGAAAAAATTCCCCTTGTCACCCCAAAAGTAAGTGTCATCAAGGGCAGCAGAAGTCAAAAGGAGGCTTTTCAGTTGGCAAAGGGAGAGGTAGGCACTGCAGCGCAGGGTAATAAAGATTTAAAGGGGCATGTACTCCATAGTACCTTATCCCATGAGTGTAAAGACCCCAAAACAACACCCCCATGAGAGCTCTGCAGAAAAGAGTGTGTCCATCTGCTAACTACCTGTCTGCCTACTAGAGGCCCTTCTCTGCACTTGCTTCTCAACTGGCTGTTCTTTTCCTAAGGAAGTCTATTCTCTGTACAGACAGCTGAGTCTCCCAGGCTTAAATAGTGCCTGGCTGTTACCGCTGATCTTTCTAGCTTGCTACCTTTGGCTTTAGTGTAACCAATAAATCTGTAGTGACTTTCTTACCTGGATCCCTGTGCTATCCTGTGGAAAGATAGGGATGGGGTAAGTATGATGCATATATAGGTTAGGGATTTTTTGGTTGTAAACCATAGAAAACCTAACTCAAACTGGCTTAAAAAGGGTTTATTGGCTTATATAACTGGAAAGTACAGAGGTAGTGCTGGCTCCAGGTGAAGCTTGATCCAGTGGCTCAATATGTCTAAATAACTGATGAATTTTTTTTCTGTTTCACCTTCTGTAGGATCATCTTAAGCCTGAGCCACTTATGGCTGCCAGCATTCCTAGGATTACATGCTTCCCCGTTTATGTCCAGCCAGAAAGAGAGTACCTTTGTGCCAGGAGTCTTAGCAAAAACCCTAAGATTCACTCTGATTAGGCAGCCTGGGTCACATGTCCACTTCTGACTAATCACTGTGACCAGGAGGAAGGCATATACTAATTTGCTTATTCTATATCATGAACTACACCTTTGGGGAAGCCTGCTCAGAATCACATAGATTCCCCAACTGGAAACTGGGATGGGCAGTTGCAGGGAGCTGATAACCCGCTTCTTTTTGTCAGTCTTGCATTCCCTTACTGCAAGCTGTAACCTCTTGTTCTAGTCTCAGAAGGAAGGAGAGAGAAGTCACCCTCCTGTAGGGGCTCTCTCTTCAGTCTCAGAGATGGCAATCCCTTTTCCCCCACCTACATCTCAGAGATGGAGCTCTTTCCTTTTCCTGTTGCTTAATTTTCATTTTCTACTCATTCCTCCTTCCCTACCCCTCACTCTGTTCCACCTTACCAACTAGAGGGGGAAAATTTACTTCTAGTCATTTCTTTAAGTCCATTCTGCACCCACCAGGTGGCAGTCTCTTGTCATACATGTGTCAGGACTTAGCCAGGATGGTGGGGCGCAGGATAGGTGTATGGAAGGAAGTCGTTCTGCATGTTGGGGCGCACCAGTGGGAAGGGAATACAGACCTTCCGGGTGTGTTCTTGGGAAAGGCAGTAAGCCAACTAACTAATATTTATTGAGGACCTACTTTAGGGTAGCTTGTCAGGGAATCTTGGTTCTTCCCAAGAAATAGATTTTCTTTCAGGGAGACATAATTCATTTGTTTCCACCACAGCAGATTTTTAAAAATTATAATATGTAATATTTGATATCTATAAAGAATATATGTAACAAATAAATTATGAAGCATAATAATAAAATGAGTACCTATGACCCATCACTCAGTTTATACATTAAAACGTAAGAAATACCATTGAGTTGGTGTTCCTGCCTGTCCTGTTCCCCCGCCTCTTAGAGGTAACCACTGTCCTTAGTTTTGTGCTTATCTGTTTTACATATATGTATATTTTTAAGCTATATATGTATGGTTTATGTTTATTACCTGTTGTTTTAATCATATATTATTCTTTTTAAAATGTATTATTTAGTTTTGCTTTTTTAGCTTTACAAAATTGTTTTACTCTAATGGACCCCTGCAGTTTGCTTTCTTTTACTTACCATTGTTTCTAAGATTTATCCATGTTGTAGATAGTTATGATTCATACATTTTCACCTGTTTAATATTCCATTGAATGCATAAACCACAAGTTAATTATCCATCTGCCTACCAATGGATATTTGGGCTGTTTCCATTTTTTTGCTATCACAAACTGCTGCTATGAACATTCTTGTAAATGTTAGTACCTTTGTTTTTAGTAAGTTTTACAAAGAGGTTTCTAAGGTGGTCCTTTGGTTTTAAACCCTTTGAGTTGGGGACTGTTTCCTCTAGTCCTGTTCTCTGAAAGAGTTTACATCAGATTGAAACACACTGTCCTTTGAAAATTTGGTAAGTTTCGCCTGTAAAGTGATATATGAGCCTGTTGTTTCTTGTGAGAATACGGTTCACTTTCTTTAATAATTACAGACTGTTTGCGCTTTCTATTTCTTCTTGAATCAGTTTAGGTAAAGTGTTTTTTTAGGATTTTGTGCATTTCTTGTCTTTTTTATTTTTATTTTTCATTTTTTTTTGAGTTGGAGTCTCACTCAGTCGCCTACACTGGAGCGGCCACTGCAGCCTCGACCTTCTGGGCTCCAGTGATCCTTCTGCCTCAGCCTTCTGAGTAGCCGGAATTACAGGCACGCGCTACCACGCCCGTCTGATTTTTTTATTTATTGTAGAGATGAGGTTTTGTCAGGTTGACCAGGCGGGTCTTGAAACCTCAGGCTCAGGCAATTCACTCACCTCAGCCTCCCAAAGTGCGGGATTACAGGCTGAGCCACTGAGCCCGGCCTTTTTTTTTTTTTTTTATTGTAGAGATGAGGTGTCAGCAAGTTGCCCAGGCAGGTCTCGAACCCGTGGGCTCAGGCAATCCACTCACCTCAGCCTCCCAAGGCGCAGGATTATGGGCTGAGCCACTGAGCCCGGCTATCTTTTTTATTTTTGGGGGGTTGGAGTCTCTGTCTCCCAGGCTGCAGTGCAGTGGCCCGCTGATGACCATCCCAGGGTCAACCTGCTGGGCTCCAGCGATCCTTCCACCTCAGCCTTCCAAGTAGCTGGAACTACAGGCGCGTGCTACCATGCCCAGATAATTTTTTTTGTTGTAGCGATGAGGTCTCACCATGTTGCCCAGGCTGGTCTTGAACCCATGGGCTCAGGCAATCCTCTTGCCTCGGCCTCCCAAAGTACTAGGATTACAGGCTTGAGCCATCGTGTCCAGCCTTTATTTATTATTATTATTATTTTTTTGAGTTGGAGTCACTCTGTCGCCCAGGCTGGAATGCAGTGGCATGCTCACAGCCACTGTAGCCTCAACCTGCTGGGCTCAGGTGATCCTTCTGCATCAGCCTTCCAGGTAGCTGGAATTACAGCCGTGTGCTACCATGCCCAGCTAATTTTTTGTAGAAACGAGGTCTCACCAAATTGGTCTTGAACTCCTGGGCTCAGGCAGTCCTCTCGCCTCAGCCTCCCAAAGGGCTGGGATTACAGACTTGAGCTACTGTGCCCTGCCTTCATGTCTTTTTTTTAACATGAAGTTCATATATTTCTTCTATTTTTTTATCTGCTCTGTGGGTAGGCATATCCCCCTTTTCATTTCCACTGTTTACTTGTGCCTTCTCTCTTCCTTGGTTAGTTGTAGCAGAAATTTATTTTATTTGTATATCTTCAGATACTGCTTTGGACTTTGTTAATCTTCCTCATGGTTTATGGTTTTTGTTTTGTTTTGTTTTGAGTTGGAGTCTCACTCTGTCACCCAGACTGGAGTGCAGTGGCCACTCCCGGCCGCCGCAGCCTCGACCTGCTGGGCTCCAGCGATCCTTCCGCCTCAGCCTTCCAAGTAGCTGGAACTACAGCCACGCAACTACCACACTTGCCCAGCTAATTTTTGATTTATTGTAGAGATGAGGTCTCGCCAAGTTGCCCAGGCAGGTCTTGAACCCCTGGACTTAAGGCAATCCTCTCACCTCCACCTTCCAAAGTACTGGGATTATAGGCGTGAGCCACTGCGTACTGCAATTTTATGTTCTTTTATAATATCTTAATTTTGACACTTAGCTAATTAATTTTCAGGCCATCTTTACTATTTTAAGTTTTCAATAACTTCCCTATATTCTACAAGTTTTTCTGTGCTCTATAGTAGTTTTATTATTCAAAAAATATTTAAATTACCATTAATGACGTTTTTGACTCATGAACTATTTAGAAAAGTTTTATAAATTTCCAAAAGTCTGAAGATTTTAAATTTATCTTTTTGATACCGATTTTCAGCTTAATCATTTGTTTTCAGAGAATGTGGTATCTATGATACCAACTCTTTGAAACTTGTTGGAATTGTTATTTTATATTCTGTAACTTATCTTAGATGTCTAAATCGGTTTTGTTGTTTTCTGATGACTTTTGCCCATGATAGCTTGTTTCTTTGTATATTTTGTATTTGGGGTTTTGAACTCATATTTAGTTTAATTTAATTTGTGGGAATCTTGTCGACCTAAATTGGGAGTATTTCCCAACAAAGAGAATTTGCCATTGCTTCTGCCAGGAGCCAGGGGGTGTTCCTGTTCTGGGACTGTGCTAGCCCTTTCAAGAGTCCAGGTTTAATTCAGGAGTCCCAGGTTTTTCCTCCTCTTCCCTTGGCTAGGTTCAAGGTTTAGACTGTTCACGACACCGGTATTGACAATTTTCCTCAGGGCAAACCTCCTACTGTGCCATGTTATTCATCCTTTATACATCCTGTATCCTTTTTTCTTTTCTTTTTTTTATTTTTAGTGTGCTAAACAATTATGCTTGCTGTATTTTATCCAGGATATAGTTGTATTTTAATGGGATAGGCTTTTCTCTTCTTCGTGCTGCCACAAGTAGGAGGCCCTTACTGTGGTTTTGATATTTTCCCTCTTGTTTTTTGTTAGGCATTTGTTAGAAGCTGGTATACTTCGACTCTGTCTTCAAACATTCTAATTGGAGAGTCCGACAAGTAAATAATGGCCAGAGCACAGTGTGAATTATGTGACTAGTAAATACAAAGTGCTTTGGAAGCCCAGCAGAAGAGCATTAGGTCAGATAGGGATCAGAGATGACTTCCCTATAAAGGTGAGTAGGAGTTAGCTGGATGAGTCAAACTCAAAGCAAAGACAGAACAAAAGAGCTAAGTCATGGCACTCTACTGCTTAAGAGCTATACATTCAGAGATATCAGTTTGGCCTGAGTAATTGGGAAGGCTTCATGGAACAGGCAGGCTTGAGTGAAGCCTTTAAGGTAAGTAGAGCCTGGATAGACAAAAAAGAGGACATTTCAGGAAAAGCAGGGGTATGGGGACGTGGCATGGCAGTACAAGAGACCTGTCAGGTGGAAGAAATGTGTATATACAATAGTGAGAAATACATTAGAAGAAGAATGCAAAACCACTATAGTCCTGTTGATTGAAAAAATGAATGAGGCTGGGCTCGGAGCTTTGGGAGGCCAAGGTGAGTGAATTGCCTGAGCCCGCGAGTTCGAGACCCGCCTGGGCAACTTGGTAAGACCTCATCTCTACAATACATCAAAAATTGGCCAGGCGTGGTAGCACATGCCTGTAGTTCCAGCTACTTGGAAGGCTGAGGTGGAAGGATCACCGGAGCCCAGCGGGTCGAGGCTGCAGTCGCCGGCAGCGGCCACTGCACTCCAGTCTGGGCGACGGAGTGAAACTCCAACTCAAAAAAATAAATAAATAAACCACTGGTGACAGAATAGATCAGAGGTCCCTAACTCCCCGCTGTGGACCAGTACCGGTCTGTGGCCTGTCAGGAATCTGGCCACACAGCAGGAGGTGAGTGGAAGGTGACTGGAGCTCCGCCTCCTGTCAGATCAGCTGTGGCATTAGATTCTCATAGGAGAGCAAACCCTATTGTGAACTGCGCATGCAAGGGATCTAGATTGTGTGCTCCTTATGAGAATCTAATGCTTACTGCTCCCCCTTCTCTGTGGAAAAATGGTCTTTCACAAAAGCTGGTTCCTGATGCCAAAAAGGTTGGGAACCACTGGAATAGATGGAAGCCTCCAAGGGAATATTGTCCTCACCATGACTGAGATTGAGGATGTATCCATTCACTTTGGGATGCCAGACCACAGTGATTCTGAGATATCGATGAGTGCTATGGGGTTTCAAAGTAGTCTCTTCTACCCTATTTTTAAAATGTAACATGGGACAATTCTACTGTAGTTCAAACAGTCTTCAGTTTATTAGATAAAGGGCTAAACTAAGGTTTGGGGAGTACCTGCTTTCTCTCTACTATTCCTCACTCTCCCCCTTCGTAATTTCCTGTTCTCCACTCCCATCACCTTCCCCAGTGTCTTCACATGAATTAAAAATACTAAAATTTGAAATAATCTTTTGCGAGTAAACCAAGACAAGCTCTACATGTGTAGTCTATGGTCCCAAATAAATGAATCTATTGTTTATTTTTGTGTTTGACAATCAGCTTTCTTTAGAAATAAAGTAAATGGTACTTCCATACAGCATACTCAATGGGGGAATTAATATCATTATATATTTCCCTAAGTGTTTTGTTTCATGGTTCTTCAATAGGCTGACTTCTTCATCTGAAAGCATCCTGCTGAAAATATTCTATGAGATAAATATATTAAGCATTTTACATAGATGGGTGGATATTGGTCTACATAATATATAGACCAATATATAATATATATATATACACACACACATACCAATATATATATATATCATAGTATTTTTTTTTTTTTGA